ATTTCGTTACGATCGTGTAATTAAAGTCTGCCAACTAAAAAGAGATTTTACTTTATTACCATACGGAGACAAAACAATCGTTGGTGAAAGAGGAATTAGTTTGTCCGGTGGTCAACGTGCTAGGTAATTATTTTATATATATATATATATATATATGCATTCTTTTAAAAATATAATACTACATTATAATGAATCTATTAATTTATATGCATAGGATAAATTTAGCCAGAGCGGTTTACTCAGAAACAGAGATATATTTGTTGGATGATCCGTTAAGCGCCGTAGATGCTCATGTAGGCAAACACATGTTCGAAGAATGTATCGTGAAATATTTAAAAGGAAAGACTAGAATTCTCGTTACGCATCAATTACAATACTTACAAGCTGTAGATAGAATAATTGTTCTGAAAGATGGAGCAATCGAGGCGGAAGGGTATGATTCGTGGTGTCCAATTTTTTGCCATTATTTTAAATTCGTTTAAATTACAATTATTTATTTTAGTTCTTACGAGAAACTTGCTTCCATGGGAATGGATTTTGGAAGATTGTTGGAGAAAGAGAGCGAAGAAGAAGAGCAACGATCAGGATCTAATCCTCCAAGTAGGACTACTTCTCGAAACGCTAGTGTAACATCATTGAGTTCATTAAAAAGTAACACTAGTGAGAAAAATGATCCAGTCGAAGTAAGTATGTTCATAAGAAAAAAAAAAAAAAATAATATATATAGATTGAATGAAAATCATATAAAAGCGTTTATATTTTGTACATAGATAGTTGAAATGCAGTCGAAGGGCAAAGTTTCCGGTGAAGTGTATGCAAAATATTTCCGTGCAGGTGGAAATTGGTGTCTCGTAGCTACCATTGCTATATTTTGTGTGCTTGCACAAGGTTTTGCTAGTGGTAGCGATTTCTTTATCTCTGAATGGGTCAATATGGAAGAGAAATATGTAATTATTATCATTTCTTTACTTTTTATCAAATTTTTATGCTTTAATTATAACGAGTAAATATATTTATCCAAAGGTAAACGAGACGAACAATGAAGTCGAGATAGAGTGGAAAGGACCGTTAAGCCGTGAATATTGTATATATTTGTACACTGGCTTAGTCATTTCTACCGTTATAATTACTTTCGTACGTTCATTTACCTTCTTTACGACATGTATGAAAGCATCAATTAGATTGCACGACCGTATGTTCCAATCTTTGAGTCAAGCAACAATGAGATTTTTCAATACCAACACGTCTGGACGTGTTCTTAATAGATTTTCAAAGGATATGGGCGCTATAGATGAAGTATTACCAATAGCTTTAATCGATTGTTTACAAATTGGTTTGTCCCTTCTTGGGATTGTAGCTGTTGTTGCAGTAGCTAATTATTGGTTACTAATACCCACCGTGATAATCGGGATAATTTTCTACTATCTTCGAGTTTTCTATCTGGCAACTAGTCGCAGTGTCAAACGTCTGGATGGAGTTAGTGAGTACTTATTTTTAACACGATCTTTTTTCTTAAAAAAAGTGGAGAAAGAGAGTCTTCATCCAGTCTTCAGTTCTATTGTTTTTCATATCTAAAAGAAGGAATGATTTAATGATTTAAAAGTCGTGAAATAATTAATCAATTTATGATAATAAATGTTAGCTCGATCGCCGGTCTTTGCACATCTCAGTGCAACTTTGGAAGGATTGCCAACAGTTCGTGCCTTTAAAGCTCAAGAAATTTTGACGAAAGAATTTGACGAACACCAAGATTTACATTCATCAGCATGGTACATATTCATATCTTCTTCAAGAGCGTTTGCATTCTGGCTGGATTTCTTCTGCGTTATTTACATCACCTTGGTTACTTTGAGTTTCTTGCTACTAGACACTGCTGCGGGGAAAGGTAACGTGGGTTTGGCCATAACGCAAAGTCTCGGATTAACTGGAATGTTCCAGTGGGGTATGAGACAAAGTACCGAGCTAGAAAATCAAATGACTTCGGTAGAACGTGTATTGGAGTATACGTAAGTATCCACAAGGAAATTAGCACCATTAGCACCATTTCTGTACAAATATTTTCATTACATTCAATTAATTCATTAATTGTATTTTTAGCAATTTGGAGAGCGAACCACCCTTCGAAAGCACACCGGATAAAAAACCTAGTGAAAGTTGGCCCGAAGAGGGTAAAATTGAGTTTCAAAATGTATCGATGAGATATAGTCCAACCGAAAGTCCTGTACTAAAGAATCTGAATCTTATGATTTATTCACACGAAAAGATAGGAATTGTTGGACGAACAGGTGCTGGAAAATCATCGTTAATATCGGCAATATTTCGCCTTGCGTATCTCGATGGTGTTATTAAAATAGATGGTGTTCCGATTCACGAGATTGGGCTTCACGATTTGCGTTCGAAGATTAGTATTATTCCTCAAGAGCCCTTTTTATTCTCGGGTTCGTTGAGAAAGAATTTAGATCCTTTCGATAATTACAACGACGATGAACTTTGGCAAGCATTAGAAGAGGTTGAATTGAAAGAATATAACCTACAATCTCACATTAACGAAGGTGGTTCTAATCTGAGTGTTGGACAACGTCAATTAGTCTGTCTAGCACGCGCGATAATAAAAAACAATCCGATCCTTGTTCTTGACGAGGCAACCGCGAACGTCGATCCACAAACCGACGAGCTTATCCAAAAAACAATTCGTGTAAAATTTGCCAAATGTACAGTTCTCACTATTGCCCACCGTCTCAATACTGTGATGGACAGTGATCGAATTTTGGTTATGGACGCCGGTAATGCGGTGGTAAGTATGGTTATAAATTTTCTATAATTGAAAGTTGGGAAAAAAAGGGAAAGGATAATGGATAAAATTTGTTTTTAATTCCGTAGGAATTCGATGCCCCTCACGTATTGATTCAAAAGAATGGGCATCTAAACAGTATGATAAACGAAACAGGGCCGGCAATGGCAGAAGCTTTGAAAGAAATTGCACGTCTAAGCTACGAGAATCGAACGTCGACTACACTTTGATAATTTTATAACGCATTCACGGAATGAAATTGAAAATTCATTCTTTTCTTTGAAAGACTACGTTTCATAGTCTTATTAGATAGTCTCTTTATACAATTATCAATTTAGGAGGTACTTTTAACGAAGTACATATTATTTTCAAGGCTCATTTTTTTTTATCGAATGTCACGTTCGTCGATAATATCAATCATTGCCATAGACTGATATACCTTATGAACGAATTTGAAATTATATTTTTATTCCGATAAATATTGCTTTAAATAATTGTAACAAGATCCAAATACGTACTTATACATGTGATATGACATTATTTTTATACATACCGTATTATAATTAGAGAGTAAAGATTTACCTCACCGTTGTAACTCTCGTTTCTTCCACCACGTATCGGTGCTATGTAATATAAAAAAAACCATTCTTCAGAAGAATAGGTATCTATACGATTTCTTAAGTAGAATATTTCGATCGATTTATGCTCATATCAAAACAATTTTATTAAAAAACCGCGGTTCTGTATTTAATTGCCACTTATGTACATAAAAATTGGAAAAAAAAAAAGAATTACGAGTTTGAGATATTTTCGGTTCTTTCCTCATCTGTATATATCGAATCGAATCTTAAATTCGTAATACAAAGCAAACGAGAGCAGTGTTATCATCGAACAAACGAATTTTCCCAGTTTGTACTGTGTCAGAAGTGCAATTTTTCCTATTCAAGAATCTAAAAGGTTCATAATCTTATACTTATTATTTTACATAATAGACCTATTTTTCGTACAAGATGATATATCGTACGCTTAAATGAAATTAATCGTATTATGTACAAGTGCCTATGTAATTTAATTATATTATAAATGGAAAATATAAATGCAACATTTATCTTGTTGATACATCGTGTCTTTTTTTTCATTTTTAAAGAATTTTTTTTTTTCATTCACATTTAACATTTTCTATTATAGAAAATATAGAAAATAACAATTATACGACGATTATCGTTATCCTCGTCATCGTCGTCGTCATCGTCGTCGTTGTTGTTGTTCAACAATTAAAAATGGCAGTGATCTCGGCAACAAATTTGCGAAACGCAATTTCGTTAATAAGAAAAAGTGACAATTTAACCACGATTTCTGGAAATATAAATAGTCTCTGTTTATTATCGAATTCTCGAACAACAATTTCCGTTTATTCTCCAATCAAACAAGATGCGAAGAGAAACGGACGATTGATATATTTGGTACGTGTAGAGCCTTGTATCGTCGATTCTGTTCAGAGTGTGTGCGATTTAATCAAACGGAAACGAGCCATACACATATACTTACATACACAATTTTTTCACCATATTGTTCTTTAAAAAATCTTAAGAACGATTGTCTTTTATCGTAACCAAGAGAGAGAAAGAGAAAGGGAGAGAAAAAAAGAAACGCGACAACGAACGATTAAAGGATACTTGTCGCTTCGTCATTTCGTATATCTCTAAACAAACAAGTATACCTCCTAACGTCTATATATACTCTGCTTATACTCGGCTCGCAACAATTGCCCGTGACGCGTGTGGATCAATCGTCCAGGCATATTCTCGCGAAACAAGTACACTAGTGTATCGTAATACTGACAGTAAAGAGATTACTATGATATTAAAATTAAGCTCACGTTGCGGAATCTGCGCGTGTGTTTAACATTTAGAATAGGTACAATTATGCGGTTAGGTTATATGTTGCGGATAATCGTTACTTCTATCATTAGAATTACAGGATTTTCTGTAAAGCGCCTCGTGATCATTCGAGGCATGATTATTCTGAAAGATACAAAAACTATTATATATATATATTATATATATACACATGCATACCAGATACACGCGTATGTATACACTCGCACACGCATCCTTTATCCTTTTCCTCCTTTTACATATATATATATACAAACCAGTATAAAATACTTATGTGTTATTATCATTAGTCTTACGATTAAGTAAATTTTTTTGTTTTTTTCGCTAAAATCCTCTTAGAAAAGTACGTCTAAAAACATAGACTTTTACATAATTCTTGATCTCATTCGAACGATCGATTAACATCTAAACGGTATATAAATAATACGGTCTAGTTAAGTAAATAAATAAGAATAACGAAGCACCGAATTGTTGTCGATATATACAAAAACATAGAAAACGAGAAAGTCTATGTAATAAGCGATACTATATATATGTATACGTATATGTATATAGAGACGAGAGAAACGAGAGAGACTCGTTTTCCTCTCTCCTCATCTTTTATCATGTAACTTTTTCTCACATCTTGATTCTTTTCTTTCTTTCGCTCGCTTCGAAGTGTCACGTACACGTGCGAGAAGGAAGACTGCGGATGTCGTTCGTTTCCTCTTTCCTCGAGCGTCGCAAGGGATCGTTGTCGACTATACGTAGAGAGCAAGAGATATAAAATGAGATGGAATATTTCGTTCGCGATACGAAAAAGAAAGTTTCGCTCGTTGGAAAAGTTGCTATTTACGTTCACTAGATACCACCGACTTACGGAACTCGTCCGTATCTCGCAAATCCTAACCTCACTTTTCAAAATCTTCTTTTTCGCCCCGATATCTCGAAGAGAGGAATTCGCGTCGAGGAAGCGGCGTCAACGCGTTTCATTATACCGAAAACAGGAACGAAACACATTGTGAAACATTGATTCGTACGGGGAACGATCGATTTTCGTCGAAAAACAAAAGGATGTGAAATTTTCGGGGGAAGGATTCTAAACCGTTTCCACATCAAGAAACGGGAGGAATACGATGGGAAACGCGTCGACGATCGAACGTTTGGCACGATGCCGCGTCGCTTCGCGCAAAAGCGGAAGTAAGAAACGCGGATGTATGTATATATAGATGGATGGATGGATGGATGGATGGATGAATACACGTAGGAATACACATATCTTCTCCTTGAAACTCATCTTCCTTAAACTTATACTAGAACCTCGAGACTTTCGCGCGAGCGAGCCTTCTGTTGTCCGCACTTTCCATTCGCTTGGACGATCATGGCGACCGATTGGCAGCCACCTTCGGTGCTGATCGGCCGGACAGGGGGCATGGCGAGCCGGAGCTTGTACCAAAATTTATTGTGGTCACCGGAACCGGACGAGTTCCACGCCTCGTCCCAGTGGAGGATCTTGAGGCGATCGAGGGAGAGCTCGGTCGAGTTGTTGCAGCCCCGATTCGATCGTTTCGCGATCGTGGTCGCGCTCGGCAAATCCTTGGTCACGATCGCTATCGTTCGTGTCGCGAGCGACGATAACTGGTTCAGGATGGGGCCCACGCTCGCCTCGTTCCAAACGTTCCCCAGGCAGGCTGGACTCAGGATCACGATGATCCTTCGGCTCGAAGAGACGTGCGCGCCGATCTCCAACGACCCTGAAACGAAAATACCCGTTTATTTTCTACTCTCTTCCATTATATAAATATTTGATACCGAATTTCTACCGCTTTCAGTTGCGTGAAATTTTTAAGAATTTAATTTCGTTTCCTTTTTAATTTCGAGACACCCAGTACGTATCGAGAGATGGAGTTTAGGGGTCCAAGCCTAATTCGAATACGAGAAACAAACACAAACAACTCGGCGTCCAAGAGGGAAACCGACCCAACTTTCTAATTCAATTT